TGTTTTCAAAGCCTGGGGGAAAACACCTGAAGAGAGCGATGAGTTACTATTAGCAACGACAGGCAGGACTTTCTTAAAGAAATGTGAGGGTAGGACAGCCAGACAGCAGGAACTGGAGCTTAATTGACTTAGAATTTCTTCTAGGGTTTTATAGTTAAGTAGTTGAAATTGGGTCATTTTTCCTGCATTTGTTTGGGCACAGCATTGGTACTGGCTTTGAAGTGGATGTGAAGATTAATCCTCTGATCTTTTGAATTTTCTCTGAAAAGAAACTGGAAAACTTGTTGCAGGTGGGATTAGATTGAAGTTCAGGTGGTAACGTCATAGGAGGGTTTGTGAGCCTGTCAACAGTAGCAAATAAAGCTCGAGCATTGTTCATGTTTTTGTTTATGACATCTGCAAAGAAAGCCTCTCTTGCATGTTTTAGTGTTGTGTGATAGTTACGTTGTCTTTCTTTATAGATGTCATAATAAACGTGCAGTTGTAATAAACGGCTCTCCGGGATTGGCTGATTTGAAAACGTCAACCATCATGTAAAGTAGCATTCTGCCTTACCATTTCAGCTCCCAAGCTGCCTTATTGTTTTCAAATATTGTAAATATGCTCTATGAGAAAAAAAAAAGTTGGGGAATAAAAATATATTTTTGTGTGGTTTTATAAATATGTAGTAACTTTAAAGAAAAGGAATGAAAATAATCTGGAAACAATTATTCTACTTCTATAAATATGATTTTACACTCCTGCGGTTCGTCGTGTATTCATGAGACCCAGGTTTCAGTTTATTTAAAGAGGACAGTTGCCTTTAATTTAATATTTCTCTCGTCAAATAATATTCAGTGATAATTTGTTTGCAGCTGAAATGCCATGATGTCGAGGTGACATACTTCCTGTAAAGCTGCTTCATGTGTTTTGCAGCTTGACGGTTTTGAAAATATTTCAGTTTTTAATGAGTCTGGCTGCTTTTGATCGTCGCTGCTTTCAAATGATCAAACTTTAACTGCATAAATCTGAATAGAGATTTCTAAAATATGAAAAATTTTATATGTGGGAAAAATACGAAAAAAGTCTATACCTACTAATTGGTAGTAACTAGTTACATTTACTCAAGTACATTTGAGTAACTTTAAAAAAAAAAAAAAACTTTTAGGAGTATTTTATCCTTACTCTTGAGTAATTTCTTGGATGGCTATTTTACTTTTGCTTGAGTAAAATTTGTGTATAAATTTTATAAGTACTCTTCCCATTTATATACCATACTTTAAGAGTCATCATAATGTAGTACATCAGTCTCAGTATGTGATTTTGAAAGTAAATTTTGCTAAATGACACAAACATGAACCAGTACTAACACAACTAATCGGTAGTGTTCACATCCGATTAGGAGAAATAAAAGTCTACTGCGGTTATTTTGCTCAGTATCTTTTAAAACCCAGTCCTTAAACCTCAGAGTACTTTAGCTCGAGTTGTGTCTCTCCTTATCTTTACTCAACTGCTTTCACACTCTAAGATCCAAGCCTGCTTCATGCTGAAGTGGCGCCTCCTGAAAATTGTAGATTGTGACGATGAAATGGACCGTTGCTTTCTCTGCTGCTTCACAGTCAATAACCAAAAAGTCAAATCAGAGTTGATGTTGCTTGGATTGCTTTTGTTGGACAGTTACCCACAAAACTAAATCTAAAAACCTTGGTTCTCTATTTTAAATCTGGTTATTTTAATTGCTGTGGAGTGTTTTTGTCTTGTAAAGCTATGAATTATGGCAACTTCTGGAGTTTCCTATATTTATTCACCTGCACAGCTTAAAAGTGACTTCCTGTTTGAAACGACTGAGGTGTTTGTGTTTTCAGTTCCACACAGTTCACTTCACATCTGAAATGTTCCCTCATGTAACGTGTTAATTATATAGAAGTTAAGCTTCGATTTCCACCAAATCAAATTGTTCCCTCCTAAATTAAACCAACTGCACTGATCTAAAAAAATACCCACGTAAATGTAATTGAGTAAATGTAACTACTTACTGCCCAACTCTGCTGATAACGGACAGGTGGGGTTTGAAAAGGCTGAAATATTTGAGACAAATGCTTCAGTTGGCATGGAAATATGAAAAGTGGCATCACAGCACGTCGTTGTTGTTTGTTGTGATGGTTATTGAGGCATTTTGGTGTTAAAAATATTAAATCAAGTACTTTAGCAAGAGTAAACTATTTATCTGTTTAAAGTGAATTGATTCACCTTCATAAAAATCACAGGACAAAAAACACAAATGAACATTTTCTCATGAATATTTACTTTCAGTGGAAGCAGTAATGTAAAAACTTGTGAAGTAGTGCATGGCCATAGATACAGCTCAATGCAGCTTCTGGGATTATGTTTGATAATTAAAGATGTTAAAATTTACACAAAAGTCTTTAAATGTCTTTAGAGATTTTTAGACTTTAGAGACAGCCCACTAAGGAAGTTGAAGAGTATGTTACAGTAAGTACTGCATAAAAAGTGTTGGATTCAAACCGTAATCACTAACATATTCTTTAAATCCACAGTGGAGTAGCTTATGTTTTCTAAATTTAGGAATAGTCCTTATGCAAACGGCGCATTTTGAACCAGCTGTGTGAGTGTGTGTTATATCTGGGAAGCCTTCTCTGTCCTGCCAGTGACACACACAGCAGACCTCCTGCTTTCTGGATGGCTGACTACTGAAGAGGGATAAGACTGAAGTCTTAGTTGTTCCAAATCGGTTTGGGCCGTTGCCAACTGCAAAGCACATTTCACCGTCTGCAGGAGCCTCCAGGCTCTGCAGAGTTTCACCCAGCTGAAAACTGAAAGCTGAGGACTCTTTTTCATCAAATAGATTTGTTCCCTCCTAAATAAATCAGCTGCATTGATTTCTTTTGCCGACACCAACCAGTGAACCATTGACTGGTTACATGGAAATTAGAGTTCAGGTTCTGTATATCAAGATAAATCAGAAATATATATATCAGAAAATGGCAGTTATAACACAATCAATTTCAACAACAAGGCAGTTCAAAGTGTTTTGTATCATAAAAACACAAAAGTACAGTCATAAAACACAGTCAATAATTGAAGCATTACAATGACCAGATAAAATCTCATTATCTGGGAATGGTTTTATGCTAAAACATGTTTTATAAAGTCCATAAATCTATTCTAACTTGTTATAAAGGAAGCACAATGATAGTAAAGTTATTTCATTTTCTTGTTGGTTGCAGTTTGGTGTAAAACTTTATAGTTTGCATAATAAAGCTTTTGTACCAACTTACCAAATTCAGGTTAAACTTTTTCAGCTGTTCCAGGTCAAATTGGAGGTTTGAAACTTGTGATAAATTCAGCTGTAATAATGAGGCTAAATCATCCTTTATTTGTACAAACGTCCAAGTCGACCATTTTCTTAAGCTTCTTGTGTCCTGAATGGGTCAGAATAATAAAGCTCTCAGCTGAACATACTAAGTAACAAGCGCCTTCCCTTGTTTATATTTCTGCTCCCTTTATGGCCCCAGACGGCACCATAATGTTTATAACTCCACCTTTAATGTTTCACAAAGACGGAGCAAATGGGACTCCTGTACAGTGTAATGAATTATGCATGTATTCTAATAAACAGAGGTATCTATGCCCGTTACAGGGATCGCTCTCTCATGTACAGAATACATAAATGCATTGCTATATTTATATGTTGTATAGAATATTTTCTCTAATGGAAATTTGTTATAAGATTAATGCTGTGGGGGATAAAAGATGTAGTTTTGTTAGCAATTACTGTTAATGGTTTTGAGCAGGAGAGTTGGGTATGTGGCCAAAAAGTAAATGGATTGTTTTTCATCATAACCCCACGGCTGCTCTGATGTTCAATTTAATCATCTGTGCTTCTGTAAAACAGAATCAACAGGCAGGACACTGAAAACACACTCAGTGTTTCTGAGGATTTTCTCCTCAAACAGGAAAAAACCCACCGGTGGCCAAAAACACGATCCTGCAGGGAGAATAACCCGGATTCACTCATCCAGATTCCCTTCAGTCTGTGTGTAAACACATTCAACTCTTACTCTCACATTTCTGCACACAGAAATGAACAAAATGCCACAAGAACAAAATTCAGATTTCCCCAGTTGAAGGATCAAACTCAACAAAAGGTTAATATCAGTGAGAATATTCTGTCGAATATTCCTCAGGTGTCAATAATTCATCATTTGGCCTTGATGTCAGAATATCTGCCTGTCCTCTCAAATTTTGACTTTATGAAGCGATAAATCATCTTATATTAGCAACGCAGCGTTTGACGTCTGTTGTTTCAGATTTCCTGAGTGGCATCTTTACAGTCCTGAGAACAAGTTATCCATTGATACTAAATCGGTTGTTATTTATGACGGTTATTAATCTGTGTGCTCGGTGAAGTGCTTTCACTCTGCGACTGTCGTCAGCTCTCTCTCTCATCTGTTGGTGCTCCGATTCTTATTTTATGAGCTTTTCCTGCCTCCTGCCCTCTGGTTGCTGGAAAACGTTTAGATGCATAACTCCGATAAATACAATTGATTCAGCCGACCACTGAACCGTTTGCAGATTGGATTCTTCTGGAACATCATGATTGCAAATTAAAGTTAAACTTTTTTACAAAATATTTTTGTACTCACAAAATCAGTAATTCCATATAAAAATCAAAACACTTTGTTATTCTTCTCTGTAATCATTGAGAAAGCAGATTCTCTGGCAGAGCGTGGAAAACGTTTGAGCTCAGATGAAAATAATGAAACATGAAGATTCACCGCCACAAACGCCACAAAGCAAAAACAAAATAAAAAACATAAAGAGAGAAACCAAATCATTTATAATCGCAGCACGACTGTTCATGCTTTGGCTTCCTGCTCCCAGATTTACCAGAAGTAAAAGAAAACTGCACAAAAACTACATTTAATACATATAAAAGGGACAATGTTGAACTTAAGTCCGACACTTAATAAATAATATTAAATATTTTGTAAAAATTAAGCTGCTTTTACAAATGATCACTGCTAATAGAATCAACATATAACATGTTGACATGTTTTTTTAACCAGGAAGTGAAGTATATGCAGTATTTATAGTTATAACATAAACACTCCTTTTTTATATTACCTTCTAAGTAAACATGAACATGATTTCTTTATCAACTCACTTTCTAGTCATTACCCTGGAAAAGGATCAGTTGGCGTGTAACTAGTTACATTTGCTCAATTACTTTAGTAACTTTTTATTAAAAAAGTACTTTTACTTTTACCTGAGTAAAGGTATTAAGTATCTCTACTGTTGAGTAAAATTTCTGGATTTTCTTGTTTGGGTACTCTACCCGCCTCTGCTCTGGTTTTTGTCCTCCTTGTTTTTTGCTGCAGCCTCTGAAAGTTTCAGAGTGAAATGTAGAAACTTTCATCTCTCCGTTTCCCGCTCAGTCTCGCTCTCTGAAACGGACCCGATCAGATCCCTGATCAGGCACCCCGATCAGATCCCTGATCAGGCACCCCGATCAGATCCCTGATCAGATCAGATCCCTGATCAGGCACCCGATCAGATCCCTGATCAGTTACCCGATCAGATCCCTGATCAGGCACCCCGATCAGATCCCTGATCAGG